GGCAGATTGGTAGGAAAAAATAAGAGGGAGAGAGAAGGGAAAGCCAGGAGAATGCAGAGCTCAAATGAGAACCGAGATAAAGCAATTACCTGATCAATACGGGTGAAATTGAGTAATCTAGCAGATCAATAGCAGCAGCAGGAGGCTGGGGGTGCTCCTGCTCTCAGCCCGCTCCCCTGCCCACCCCTTTTCTTCCTCCCAGCTCTCTGCTGCCCCACTCTTCTCTAAGTCTCTCTCCCACGTCAGCCTCCACCTGTGCTTAGGCCACTGCACCCAGATTTCCTCTCCACACATCTCCCTGTGCACCTTTCTCTCCTCCTTCAATGGACGCTCTCAATCTGGGGGGATGCCTGGGGCTATAGCACCAGCTCTGGGGGCCAGAAGCAGGTTACACATCCTGCCTGAAGGGAGCTGCCTTTCTTGCTGGGAGGAGGCTCCTGGTTCCTGCTGATCCGAAGATGGCTGTGTGGTGCCACAGGGTTGAGTGTCAGGGAAGGGCATTTGTCAGCCTGGGGGAAGCCTGTATATAAGGAGGGTGTCTAGAGCTGTGAATTTTCCAGAAGAGGAGAAGGGGAGTGAGATCCCAGTGTGTTCCCAGGACTGTGGGAACACCTGAACTCTTGCAGGCCCAAGTTAGCAATGAAAATTCTAAGGCAAACAGAAAAGCCACAGCTTCCTGAGGGTAAGAAGACAGGTTGCAAAGCTATGCGGTAGGAAGACCGCTGGAGGAAGAGACAAGGCCTCCTGATTGGCCCATCTTCATCACTGCTAGAGTGGCAGTATCTGGCCTATAGGGCTGTGCTTAACTGCCTTTGTATTGCAGGGCTGCACCTGACTGAATAAACGAATGACTACTGCCACCTGTATTTCAGTTCCCTGGTGGATTTGTTCCCTCACCAAACTGTGCCCCTGAAGAGTAGGGACTCCTATGCAATTCAACACAGGCCAGCATCCTGCGGACATCTGCCTGCCTCTTCCTCACAGCTGACTGAATGTGGGACTCTCCCTCCCTGGCCCTGAGGCCCTCTGGTGGGGGTGGAGACCTGACTGCTCCCATGAGCTTCCTCCGTGAAATCTGACCCCCTTAAAGCAACTCTGTTACCCTCCTTCTAGGCACAGGCATCACCTCTAAGAGGCAGGGAGGTTTCCAGGAAAAGCACCGAGTCTTGGGTAGGCTGCTCACGGTGTCAGTCCTGGGCAATTTGCTTCACTCTGTCGAACTTCATCTGCAAAATGAGGAGAATAATAGCACCTTCTGCAAAATATAACTTTGTGGATCAAGGAAACCAATGAAAGGCATATGAGAAGAACACAGCAATGTCCCACCTTTTTTTTTTTGAACCCAGGAGTAGAAGGGCTGGGTCAGTGAAACAGAACAAGATTTCTTTCAGCTGGGCTGTAAGTGGGGCAATGAAAACAAACCTAGATCTGCCCTGCTCTGAAGGTAGACCTATACCTGTGTACCTCAGTTTCCCCTTCCCTTTCTCACCAGTTGGTTACTGAGGAGACAAAAGACATTTCCATCTCAAGCACTCACTAGATTATAACCCCTCATCCCTATACTTGTTTGTGTGTCTCTCTGAGGAATCCTGGGAATAAAAGAGAAGATGGTCTTAATGACACACTAGAATAAAGGGTCCCTCCCTTGCAGGTGAATCTGTTCAAGGCTGACCTGGGCCCCTACAGACAGGTGTCCTCCCATCCTCTCCACTCTTCTGAGGCCCAGCAGTACTCCAGGTCAGAGGCCTGGAGTTTCCAACCTTACTGCCCTTACTCTGTGGGACCCAGGCTGTAAGGCTTGGCCCCAAAGCCACCTGACAGGACTGAAACAAGGGCAGAGGCCTATTGCTGTTGCTCAGCCCCAAACCGTCACTTCCAAGGTCTGGATTCCCTCCCCACTGCCTGTCTAATCTGGACCCCAGATCCTAGAGTTCCTGGAGCCAGCAGGGGTGGGGCTCCCCTCCCCACTTCTACCCGCACCCCTATCAGTCTGGGACCCTGGGTGCTTGAGGGAAGGTTCTGCCTGCTTTCTGGGAATGCTTTGATCTTTGCTCTTTCTTCTGGGAGGCTCAGCCTCCAGGGCCTGTTGGACCACCCCCCTTTCTGGTTCTTGTCAAAGTCTCAACACTGAACTGAGGGCTGGCCTCCTCCAGCTCCCATTCTGCACACCTGATTCTTGGGTGCCTGGGTGGGTGGGATAAATTTCGACCTCTCAACTCTCATCCACTCTGGACTTCACTTGTCTTCACAGTATCCACCTCCCCTCAGCCAGGGAAGAAGTGGATGTGAAGACACAAAGCCTCTGAGGACAGTAATCATGATGGTGCAGCTTCACACAGGCATCTGGATCACTAGAAATTACTGTACTACTAAATGTTCTACGTGCATCACTGCCTCCTCACAGCTCTGTACACCGGAAGTGTAGAGGTTCTGTAAACTGCCCACTGTTAACAGCCAGCAAAGGCAGCGCTGGGATTGTAGACAAGAGCCCCATTCAGTGTGTGTGTCTTCTCTTCCTCAGCCAATCAGCCTAGCTCACAAGGGGCCCAGGACTGGGGCTGCTGTTGGGTTCTTGCTCATCTATTTTTATTTTTTGCAGGACAGGGGGCACTAATGAGTCTGAATCCTAGAAAGGTTCACTTTAAAGAAGGTAACAGCCCAGATAGGGCAATTTAAAACTAGAAGTGTCATGGAAACTAGGAAGCAGAAACACCCTCAGGATTAGGTCCTCTACGACTTCAGTTCCTATTTTTCTTGCCCACATATTTGAGTAAATGAAAATTGTGAACATGTCCTGTGGTGCCAAGAAAAAGGAGTTTGGAATAGGGAGGGAGTACAGTTGCAAAGAGGGGAAGGAGAGAGCTGGAGAAGAGACAGGAGTGACAGCATGACAGGCCAGAGTGTGGGAGAAGGCTGTGCTGAACAGGGAGGGGAGGTTCAGCTGTCGTGCCAGGGACTCTACTCTGGGGCCTGGAGGCTGGACTACAGACACTGCACACGGAAGGTCACTCTCTCATTTCTGACCTGCATCTTTTCATTTTAGTGGCCAAATTTCCTTCATGTTTCCTGTTAATATTCAACAAACACTTTACTAATACCTGCAGGCTCTAGTCGACATCCTGGGCATTGGAAGAAAGGGAGATGAAGTGAACCCCATGCTGGTCCTTGGCTTCTTGACTATCTATCCTCTGAGAAGCCAGATTAAGGAGCAGCGGCTGCAAAGCGTGGACAAGGCTGTGCGAGGCAAACAGGGCTACAGCAGGACACAGAGAAGAGCCCTGTGCTGCCAGGAAAGGGTCCTGGAATCTGTGACATCTGGGATGAACTCTGAGGAAGTTGTCATTGGCCGAGGGAAGTAGGGAGAAGAAGGATGTTTAGCTGGAGGAGGACAGACAGGGTCAGTGTTCCACAAGGCAGAGTGGCCTTGGAGCAGAGTGCTGGGCTTTACCTTGGTTGTACCAGTTAACTTCTGTGAGATTCGTAAGAATCTCAGCAGAATGCAGATGAACATCACCAACCTCAGGGTGTCACCAGGACTGGGTAATATACCGTAGCTGCTCAACATACACTTTAGTTAGGGTTGCAGTTCAGATGCTGGGTAGGGTGGGATAGTATGCATGCATTTCTGGGGGAAGGATGAGGCCTAGAGACTATCAGGGGAACACTAGGGAATCATGAAGGCTCTATTCCCCTCACCATAGAGGATCTGAGATCTTTGCTAGTCTTTCCTCACTTCTTTCCCACATGCCACTGACTTCCTCCTCTTTGTTCGCAATCTGAATGTTTAAATTCCAATTCTAAGCACTGGCTGTTCAGCTTTGTCTGGCAGAGCCTGTTACCTGGAGTCCTAATCTCACAATGAGGTTCATGCTCCTCTCTCTCTGCCTTCCCCACAGAAGGGGCGAAGCAGGAGGATTTTCTATGGGAGGGGTTCATGCAAGCCCACCCTCTCCTCCTAATCAGCCCACAGTGTGCCTGTCACCTGATCACAAAGACTGAGACCCTTTGAGTGGATATTGGCCAGGATAGCTTCTCAGTGCTCTGGCCTTCCATGCTTTCCACTGGCTGGCTTAATTCTTCTCCAATACGGGGAAGCTACTGCTAGCAGAATAAAATGCAAATTCTTTAGGCTTCCCCTAAGACTCTTATTACATTTGCCTCTTCATCCACCTCCCTTGCCACTCAATTACACCCTTCTGGAATGACCGACACTGGCACGTTGGGACATTCAGATCACTTGGTGGGTCTCCCGTAGGTAGGCAGACATAGCTGTCTGGTAGCATCTTCCTTTAAGTGTGTTATATGCTACTCAACATCCACTGAGATTCCTATCAACAGGACTACAAGCTTGAATCTACCTTGAACTATGGTACTTAGCGACCTAGACCCTGTTTCAAATAAAACATAAAAAGGGGCTAGGGATGCAAAGGCCCTGTGAGGGTGGGAAGAGTCCTCTCCTTCCCTTTGCATTCTTGTCCTCTATTGGGAAACAAACCTAAGAGAACCCAACCTTAAAATCATTTCTATTGAGATGTCACATTTTACAGTGGTCACTCTTTCACTGATTGAAATTCAGTGATTTCTGTTACAACCTGTTACTACCTAAGCCGAGAACATTTTCATAACTTTTGAAAACTGATCCATTCATAAGTCATTCCTCACCCACACTGACAACACTAACCTGATCTGCTTGGTCCCCAGGACCTGCCTCTTCCGGATTTTTCATATGGCCAGAATCACGCTGTACATGTTCTTTTGTGCTAAGCTTTATCTTTTCTTGAAAAGTCCTCACACCATCTCTGAGAAACAAACCTCCCAACTCACATGTCTGGCTCTAGTTTCCCTTCCTCAGGTAACAGCCATGCACTCAAGGACTGGAGATCCATGTCTTACCACAGTGGGAAGCATTCAACAGGATGTGACAGTGAGGGAGCCGGCATGTGGCGTGATCATCCTAGCACATGGTGTGATGAACAAAACCAACACTTGGCAAACGTTACTTAAAAGTACTTTTTTCTTTTTTATTTAACTTTAATTTCTGAGGTAAAATACTTTTTTCTTTCAACTTCCATAACAAAATACAGAGCTATCAGATACCCCTGGAAAAAAATATGTATATTATACATATATTTCTATAACATTACATCATATATATAATATATATGCAAAATTTTGAAGACTTTATAGAAAGCAGAACATCTAAAAGGCACTGCACAAGGAGTTAAGATTACTTACATTTTATGTACATATACACACTACTCTGCTGAAGCGGATAATTAGCAAAGTCCTCTTTCACATATGAATGTCTGACTCAGAAATCCCTGCATCACAATTTTATAATTCAAAGAATGCCTAAATATTTAAAAACAAATTAACTTCCCCCCCCAAGAAGAAACTAAAAATGGAACAGTTTTTGAAAGACTGAATCAAAGTTTCTTTTCAACCACATAAAACTATGTTCCATTACTGCTTACAAAACAAAAAGCACAAACATAATTATGGAATAAATAAACAAGGGACAAACAGCCAACTGATTTGAACCACCTGGTGAGAAGTGGTATTTTTAATGCTTCTGAAGGTTTCTTGGCCCACAGGTCACTAGGGTGCAGTCCTTCCCTAAAGTAGTGAGCTGGGTTTAATGCAGTACGGTCTGACAACCAGGGTGAATGAACTTGGTGAACTGTATTTCGCTCCTACCCATCCTTTAGGAGAAAAGGTGAGCTCAGCAAGGCTGGATGCCATTGAGATCTCTGCTGTTTTCTTTTCTATAGCTAAAAAAAGCAAACCTTTTACATGAACAAGTTCTTGATTAAAGAAATGTCAATAGATTTATATTTGTAAAGTATTAAAGCATTTGGCACAGCAAAATTTGGAAAAAATGTGGGAGACAAAGTAGGTCCACTTTGCCCTCTACCTGCCCTTGGACAGTGACAAGATGCTCACGGAAGAGGAAGGCCTGGTTTTGTGCCAAGTGACAGGTGCTGCTAGGAGTAAGTTGGAGGAAGAAAAACTCTCTTTTGCCCCAGAAAGTATCAAGGGATCTCCACATGCCCTGGTCTACTTCCTGAGCAAGCCCAAGTGTGGCTCTGTGTGAAGACCCTCCTCCCAACCCCACCTGAGTGTGTGGTGCAAATCAACTGACACTGGTGGAATGGCAATCAAAGGAAAAAGTTACAAACCAAACAATTTCTTAAAGCCAAAAAACATTTTTCATGGGATTGAACATTTTTTGAGTATTTTTTCAAGTGTAAAAGCAGTGACTTTTTTTGTTCAAACAGAAGCAGCATCCAGGAATTTATTCTGGCACTTGTGTTCTAGGGGTTACAGGTATGCATCATGAATTTCTCTTCCTCTTATTTTAAAGGCCTCGTGTTTCTATTCCTGAGTTCATACCGACACCTGCTGGCCCTGCCCTGTAGAGGGCAGCGGGTGGCCAGCTGGTCTCCCTGGTTAGATCGGGCAATGCCAAGCAGAGAGCCCTCCTCAACCTGCCAGGCTTGCTTTTCAATACAGAGGTAAGTCAGGTGCAGAAAAGGAAACTGACAGAACCACAAAAACCAAAGGCAGCCTACCTGGGAAGCCCTTTGCAGCCTGACCCAAGCCTGAGTCTTTACGGAACACTGTCTCAGTCCCTTTCCTGGGGAAAAGGAGTCACTCATGGAATTTGGATCTGACAAGGGGGAGGACACCTGCCAAGAAATAGCACAATGGACTCAAGTCATTCCAGGCCACCCAGTGTCTCTCACCTGCTCACCTTCCTGAGTCCTTCTCTCATGCATGCACTCCAACCAATTAAAACTAAAGTCAAAAACTACTCCCACTACTAGAGGATAACCTTCAAATATTAGAGTGCTCGTAAGCCAAGCTGAAGCCAAGAATTTCTTTAATTCCTAGACACCACTCTCATGCCTCCGCTTGCCCTCAACTGATTTACTTCTCTTCTTACTGCACTGCTGCTACACAGATCTAAGCCACAGCTGGTGTCTCCACACGCGATGTACTTGGAGGTATACACGCACATACACAGAAGTGTGGCGGCTGCTGCTTTTCTCTGCTCCTAATCCCAGTCTTTTGCTTCACATAAGATCAATACTTACTTCTTTGAAGTTACTAGAGGAAACAATTCCTTGCTGTTTGTCAACTGGAGTGTGGTGCAAGATACTCAATTATTCAGGAGGCTGGAAAAATATGGGCAAATGGAGATGGCAAAAATGGCACCCTCATAATAGGATATCACCCCTTTCACTCACACCAGGCCTCTTGGCATTTGGTGTCTTTGTGTCTCCTTCCCATCTCTTCCTTCAGGACCCACAAATATCCACTTGTTCCCCCAGTACCTTCTGTGTTTCCCAGTTTCACTTGCCTATAGCTTCCACAATCTTACCCTTTTGCTATCTATCCCAGTAACATCAAAAGGGAAAGACTGAGTATCAGCTAGGAGTTTAACCATGTCACAGCATACGAGGATTATCTGAAAAATTGTTCATGCCCTGTTCAGGTTTGCACTGACAGACCCGTATCATCTTGAAGTATGTTCATAGTTAAGGCTCGACTTAAGAAAATGATAAGAGAACCAGACACAATGGACAGACATCTTCAACAACACTGTCATGCCTCTCGATGACCCTGCTCTGTCACATTTGGTTTGGCTCTCCAAACCCATAATGAAAAAGGAAAAATGAGGATCATTTTTTTTTCATTTGTTTTTAAAGGCATTGGGTTACCTTCTCCTGCCCTCTTTTCTTCCCTGAACAAGAGTTTATAACTCCTCATGGCTTCTTAGTAGGTGAAGTAGGTGAAAAGTCCAAGGGACAAGTAGCAGGCTTCCTGGCTCAGTCCTGCAGCCCAGGGTGCAGCTCCTGTGTCTTCCCACCCAGCTCTAATTAGCAGGATGCTCTTGTGTCCAGACATTTTTTTTTTAAGGAAAAGAAAAACACCAAACAACAAAAGAAAGAAGAAAGTAAAACAAGAAAAAAGACCAACATCTGAACAGCCCCTGCTCCAGAAGGACCAAAACAATCTTATTCCTCCCCTGAAATAATTATAAAGAAACATTTCAGGCAAAACAGCCTTAATGGCCTCTCAATGTTAACTTCCCAACCATGACCTTTTCTCTTTTATGTATCTCTCTCAGAGCAAAACAAACTCATTAATGGCTTTTCATATATAAATATAAAAGTAAAGTCTAGAACGTGAACTACCACAGGAGCAAAGTACCTGGGCTGTCTAGGAGTTTCCTTGTCAGGAAGTTTAAGCCTCAAACAGGAAACAGGTTCTTTCCCCTTTCAGTTCAATGACCTCCCTGTGTCCTACTCACCAAGAAAAAAGTGTGTTCACACCCCACCTAATTTACAACAGAAGATATCCATTCTATCCCCAACGTAAATACAAGTCTATGCCCCAGAATGCTCAAACCAGTCTAATGCCCTCCCCCCTCCCCCCAGCTCTGCTACATAAATACATGTATGTATTTAATTAGAATAGAAACAGCTCCCAATACACTTATAGTTCTATGCATCAGCGGCTGCCGCTGCCAGGCCCTGGGGTGCTGATCCACTCCAGAGGAACTTGCGATTCTTACTTGGTGGCTCCCGGGCTTCAGGGTCATCATTCCAGCGCCGTTTCAACCGAAGCTTGGGGGGCATCAGAGCATCTTCTTTCTTCTCAGGAGCACTGGGCTCTTTGCCAGACCTGTCCTCACTGTCTTCAGTCACCTCCAGAGGTTCTTCGCTTTGGGCGTTACTGGGTATGGAGGACCAGGCGGGTGGCGCGGTGGGGCAGGCAAAGACGGTGCCTTCTCCCTCTTCTGTGGTCCTGCTCCGAACTGCACCCTCTTGACAGTGCTCCTCTCTCTCTCGGGCTGACTGCCTGAGGTTCTCGGCCTCCTTCTCAGAGGTGGCAGGGGTGGGCTCTATCTTAATTCGTGGTAGCACAGGTGCTATGGTGGGTGCAGAGACAGGTGCAGGGTCCTCACTGTTCTCCACCCTTTCCCGGTTCTTACGCCCCACAGGTGGAGGCTGCAGCTTGATAGAAAACTGAGTTGACTCCTCAGGATGCATTTGGCATTGCAATGGTGGAACCATGAGCCCTGGGTAACGGGGAAAAGTCCGAGGACTCAGATGGTAGTTGAACACCGAACAGGCTTGAGAATGAAGGTAGTGTTTCATTTCCTCTGGGTTGAAGGAGAAGCAACTGCTGCTGGTGAAAGGGCTCAGGCCTGGTGAAGGGCTATAGGAGAAGATTGTAGGAGTCAGGGAAAGGGCTGGTGAAATGGGGACATTAAGGACATTGCCTCGGCCAGGGATTGGAGAGACAGCAAAAGGACTGTGTGGGTCAGGGTACATCCCTGGCCTCGTGAAAAGAGGAAGCATTATGTCAGGCTTGCGTTTCTGGTGACCAATCCCTCCTCCTCCAACTGCATTCCGGGAAGACATGAGATCAACACCCCGGCGCCAGTCAGTAGTGGGGCCATCCTCCAGCTCTGAAAGTTCCATCTTCCTATCAGTGCCATTGTTGGACTCCTGGCCAGATGCAGTCAGGGAGCTGGCCGAGAACCGTGCTGGCTGCACATCACTGGTTGGAGAGTGGGTATCCAAAGGTGGGAAGTGGAAGCGGGAGGATGCGGTTGGCACTGGTGGTGCACTCTGAGGAACCACACCTGTGATGGTGGAAGACAAGAGCCATGTTGGAGGTCTGGTCACTATCATCATGTTACTGACACCATGTTGAGTGGCAACGAGAAGCAACAGGATTGAGTCTCCCAGTTTCCCATCTTCCTAGTGACCAGTGGCTCAGCTTTTTCTACTCAGTTAAGTGGTTATCCAACATGGGTGTCTCCAGAATGTCTCTACTGCCTATAACACCATTTACTTGTTTATCAGTATTCTAAAACATACACTTTACAAGGCAGGGACCTCATATGGTTCACCACTATCTTCTCAGCAGTTCATGACTTGTCAGGTGCTCAATAAATATTAATTAGGTGAATGAATGCATGGACGGAAGAGCATTCTCTCAATTCTAAATAATGTGCACATATCACCTGTCTCAATTTCAACTTTGTAAAGTCTTCCTTATTTTCATAATTTAAGTCATATGTATAAAAAAATCTGGAAATAGCATGCATTCAATGCCAAAGATCCTGTACCTCACATATATGGACATGGGCTAGATGAATAATAAAAATGATGTTTGTTTAGGTTAGTTCTTATGGTGTCTTACCATTTTTTTTTTCCTTTTTTTTTTTTTTTTTTTTGTCTTTCTCATTTTTTATCGGTACCGGGGATGGTGTCTTATCATTTTTGATATATTGCACAGAGATTCAAATATTTTTCAAACTCTCCAAATCTGTATTTCCCTAATAAATTCCCTGTAATGATTTCTATCCTGATTCTGCTTTCAAGCACCAAGGAGGCTGGAAGAAAATCCTATTCCCTGTCCCTTGTGCAAGTGCTAAAACTTCAAGCTCTAAACATAAAGTAACACTGTACTAAACATATTATTTTGAAAGGCTCACAAACTCTCAGTTTCCCTCAAACTTCCTAAGGTCCAAGAATGGTGGACAAATGGGATCCTGGGAGGCATTAGAGGGTCTATGATGATACTGTCAGAAGGTTTTCTTTTTCTTTCCCTTTTTTCTTTTTTTTTTTTTTTAATACTTGAAGGAAAAAATAGTTAAGAACTAGGAAGGGCTGAGATATGGCTCAGTGGCATAGCACCTGCCTGGCAAGCATGAGGTCCTGAGTTCGATTCCCAGTACAAAAAAAAAGGAAAAACTGAAGTCAGTGAAAGTAAGGTGGTCTAAGAGAGTAAAGAAAAACAGCACAAGCTAGTGTGGTTAACAATTGCTCCTGAGTAGCTACCACTTTCTGTTTTTGGCAATATGGTCATTCTCAGACTCTAGTGATTGGTTGGGATATACAAGATGTGGATATCTGGGTACATGTGACTGACACTGCCAGAGAGATATTTCCCAAACTGGTGTTTCTCATAAAACTCCTCAGTAGAACTTTCAGTTTGCCCTAGCTCCCCAAAGGTTTGAATACTATTGCTCTGAAAGAAGACCTCCTTCTTGAAATCACTATGATCTCCCAGTGGTAGGACTGGAAAATCTGAGTGTGAATCTCAGGGCTGGCACCTCCTATCCTGTAGCTTGTGCAAGTTAGAAACTGGAGTTTTCACTTTCTGGCAAAAGTTGAATTAACAAGGGCTTTTGCCTAGCTTCAAGCCTGGCCCTTATTGTGTACCTCTGGACTAGCTACCTCTTTGTGCCTTAGTTTCCTTGTTTGGAAAACAGGTAGTAACAATCCTAATGTTATGAGGAATAGAAGTTTATACTATAAAGTCTTTATAGTGTTGCGACATAGTAAACTGGATGTAATTGTTAAAATACATTTTTATTAGATAATAATTTAATTCAAAAACCAAAATTTACAAAGATATGTATTGACTACAGATCACATACTAGCTAGTAGTATTAGAGCAATGTTAAACTTCCTGGGTATGGTAATGTTGCTGTGGTTATGGAAAAGAATGTCCTTGTTCCTGGGAGATACAAGCTGAGGTACACAGGAGTGCAGTGCCATGTCGTCTGCAATTTAATCTCAAAGATTTAAAAAGTATATATAAATAGAAAGAGATAAAGCAATGTGGCAACACTGTTAAACCATTAGTGACTATACACATCCACACAGAAGATATGTGGGTGTTCACTCTTCTTAATCCAGTTTTTTCGTAGGTTTGAAGCTTTCCAGAATAAAAAAAATGAGGAGAGATGGGTAGGGCTAGCTGGAGGCACAAGATCAAGAAGTCTCAAATCCATCCCTGAGCTAGTCTACCTGGCCCCTTCTCACTGAGAGAGAACCATTTTTTACTAGTTATCCTCTGCATCTTCCTAATGTTTCATATGCAAATGTAAGGAAGTATTAAAATATGTTCAATAATGTATTTTATAGAATGTTTCAGTGATAAAAATGTTACTCTATGTATAAGTACTTTCAGCACTATCCAAATGTTAAGTATTTTACCTTAAATTATTAACAGTAAGTATGACTATGAGGAAAAGAGAATATCTACCCTTAACTGTATTATTTAAACATATTACCATTACACATGTATTTCCTTTCTTTTAAAAAACAAAAGACTGAAACAGTTGCACCATATTGAGGAACCATGGAGACAAGACCTAAATCCACACAGCTCTACTCTGTCAGAGCATCTACCTCACTTAACATTGTGTTAAACCTAGCACAGTATATCTTATCTCTCCTCTAACTTCTAAGTACCTTGAGGAAAGGACTTGCCTATCTTTTTGTCTGCAGGGCTTCACACATTATCTGCTGAGCAAATTAATGAATCCTAATGGAGGCTGAAATGTATGACCTAGTAAATAAGAGATGGATTTCAACAGTTCAAACTCAAGAGTTGTTTCCTGAGAAACTGTTCAACAGGTAACTATTCAACCCAGCCTGCTCAATCTCTGTAGTCTTCATCCTTAATTTTAACATTTATAAAATGATTATCAAGACACACATCTTACTGGTCTACGATGGTCCAATGATTAGTTAACTTGCCAAACCACTAAGCAAAAAGTACATACCACAATTAGGTGGACGTTCAATAATGGCCATCATAAAGTTAACCTTAAACATTTGGTCTACGTGAATAAAAGCTGTTTATAAACAAATGACTACAGTTCTTTGGAGCTATCAGCATTTAGGGATGTAAGGAACTGAATCGTGTGCCCAAAAGAAATATAGGTGTTTCCTCTCCACTTTCTGATTAAGATCTGGGGGTTATTAGGGATCAGATTTCAAGCACAACATGTGTGCCAGACCACTAGAGTCAGATTTAAGAGAGATTTTTGATACATCAACAGTCTAGACTCCCTTGCCTTGGAATACTACATTACTCCACTCCTTAGACTCCTGAACTCCAGTTCAGGGTGTACAAGTGTCTTGTTTTTTTTAAACTTGAAAAACATGGGTCAAAGATAGAGGAACAAGACCAGTGAAGCATTTTTGGATGTAGCACAACAGGTGAACAACACAAACACATTTTTCAAAGTTGCTACAATGTCCATGTAAAGTCCCAATCTATATAGGGACACAGGGAAGGGGCGAGAATGGGAAATACAGGAAACAGGATTCCAGTGGCTAGAACAGGTCTGATTTCCTAATGCCGCTCCCTCAGGCACAAGGAAAGAAAACAGGTTGTAATTAAGAAAGATGCATTCCAATAAGACTTTTTTTTTAAATGCATGCCCCAGGGACAGGAGGGAGTGGCTAGAGAAGAAGAGATGGAACTATAATGATAGCACAGTCAAACTAAAACTGCCCTAACTTGTTGTGTATAGTAATTACATATCTGCAATGGATCTTGGCATTGTACTCTCTCAGCCACACCCCCACTCTAATTTTTCCTTCTTCAAACTTTTCTCTGAAAAGCTGTATTACTACAGAATCATGATAAGCTTTCTTTATTTTAACACTGAGGCCACAAAGACAGCCATGATAAACTGGTCAGAAAATAAATACAATCTATTTCCTTTACCAGGGTAAAAATTTGTGTCAGTTTGGTTCAACACATTTCAAGAAACCCTACACAGAATAATAAAACTTAAGTGACAGCCTTGAGAGAGAGAGAGAGCCAGCCAAAGCTAAAGTCTCAGTGAAGAGCTGCGATGGAAAGCTTAACGCAGACTCTAGAGGGGAAGCCCTTGTGCAATTTAAAAGGAGCCAAGGCTAAGTAACCCCAGAGTCTCGTTCTCTGAGGAGTTGCTGGTATAGATCAAAGGCATTGCTTTTCACTGCAAACATGTGACCCATCTCCCCTTCTGTGATCAAGGATGCTGTGGTTTTCACGATATTCACTTGATAAGGGAGAGCTTGGTAGTTTCATAGAAAATCGGAAGTATTTGTATAAACAGGTTCTTAATCTATGAAGAGTTACTAGGGTAAAGAGTTCAAACTGAGTCCTGAAAACTTACAAATCAACACAATGCTATGGAACATCATCCCCAACGAGAACAGTTTAATAGGAGACTGCAAATAAATATGTAGAAAAGGGAATCAGGTACATAAATTAAAAATCTGTCTTGATATTACATAGTCTATTATTCTCTTTATGAGATAAACAGTAAGACTCAAGGAAGAATACCAAGAATTCAAAGGATCACATTACTTTCATGTTTCTAAATCCTCTCAAACAGCCCATGTTTTATTTATTTATTTTTTTTTAGTGACACTGTAAACTGAACTCAGGTCCTCCAAACTGAGCTACATCCACAGCTGTTCCTTTTGTGATAAGAGTCACCTTAAGCTACACAAGCTGGGTTTGAATTTGTAATCAGGACCTGTTTCAACCTCCCAAATTCAGTTAGATTTGGTTTTTTAAAATTCTTTTCATCCCCAAGTTTCTTCTCTTTCTTTTTGTGTGCTAGGAATTGAACTAAGGATCTTAATCGTGCTAAGTAAACATTTTACCACTGAGCTACATCAGATCATTAAAATTATTAAAATCAAATTTCACTCTTAACCAAAGGAGTTTGAAACTTACCACCTGATCGAATGTTGATAAATGGGTAGTTGGGCATCACCAGCTTGTTAAAATTAAATTTGTAAGTAAACCTTTTCCCTTTTGTTTTATGAAGGATCCTCTTGTTGTAATAGTATCTGTAAAAATAGAATACATGTCAATCTATCTTCTAGCCACTGAGTCTTTGGTATACTTAGGTAATCAGTAAGACCAACAATTCTTGCTTTAAGTATCACTTGCAAACATCACTACTATTTTTTTTTTTTTTTTTTTGCAGCCTGCTTACCAGGTTAGGGCTGAGAGCTTACTTTCTTCATTCGATTTTTAGTTAGGCTCTCTAGTCTTTGGCTAGAGTTCTACAAAGACACTTCTGCTTTAAGATCCTAAACACCTACCCTACCTCTGCCAATTTTTTTTTCCTTTTTACAATTTCAATTCTATAGTCCACTTCCTTCCTACTCTGTCACTAACTGCCTCGTTTCTTTCAGTTTTGCCCAAGTAGAGACAGACAAGTCTACCAGGAGAACTGATGTGCAAGACGTAAACAAAGGAATGCAGAACTGTTTTATAGTGGCCAGAAGACAATGGCATATCATGATCTGGAAAATGGTAATCAGACTGGTTACTTTAAAGATTCAAAGGGAGGTGGGAGGTTCCAGCAAAATACTGCACAAATTTTACACTTAGGGTCACTAAGAATGAAGAAAGGCAGGGAAATCTGATGAATCCAGAATCTTAGGCCTGGCTTCTGCTAAACAGACAGGTCACAAAGTATCTACTAGCCCTCGTGAACTAAAGGGTTATGAAATTTAAAGACTGACAAAGGGAAAAGACAACTTGAGGAAACTCATGGTGATCAATTTTTAGACATGATGAAGCAACCCATGGACTGACAACTAAGCTCACAGATAATGTTCTGGAGTAGCTTCTCAGTACCATTTGGAAAGCTCTTTTCCTGTGCTTGCTTCATCCTTTTCTAGCTTCTGCCAGGGAAACCCAAGTAAGAAAAATTTTAATAAACTCCCAAGGAAGTTCTACATGTAGGAAAGTGTACATGAACCCTCTGGATTATAAATGAGCCCCAAGCCCTGTTTCACCATATACTCTCGCCTACTGCAGAGCACAGTCAGCTGTCTGTCAGGACTCAGTACCAGCCACAATTCCAGCCACACTGGAATTCCCTCCTACATGTAACCGAAGATATGCCTTTTCTTCTTCTGTGTCTGTGCTACCAGAATCCAACAGCTCTTCAACTGCCACTTTATAACTACATATTATTCACTCAGTGTAGTCTCATCACCTAATACCCTTTTAATCTAACATTTACCAAACTGTGTAGTTTTCTTCTAATCTGTTAACACCATAGGTCGAGGAATCCTTTCCCTCACCTGAGGGCCCGGCTGAGCTTGTCATAATTCATCTGTGGTTTGCATTTCCTGCGGCCCCAGAGGCGGGCCACCTCATCTGGATCCTTGATGACAAACTCCCCATACTCTCCCTGCTGCCAGGCGATGACATGGCGGAACTCTTCCTTTTGCAGCAGCTCCAGGATGAAGTGCCACAGCTGAATCTGCCGGGAGCCTGGGGAGGACTCTGTTTTGTAGGCCCAGTCAGGAAACTGATACCCTTTAATGTGAAAAGGGCAAGATCAAAGTAGTCAGGAGCAAGGTGCATACACACCAGCACCCTCAACTTCACATTCCACTGCTTAGAGACACTTAAGAGTGCTTTGCAAACATGCCACAAATGCCCTTTTAATCAGCCGGGGCTAACCACAACTGGGGAGAAAAGGACAGGAGTTAAACCATCTCTGTGGCAATCTCATAGAGCTGGGCAGCAGTGCCCAGGCGTCTTAATTGCTTACTCTTTCATACATCACTAAATTTCATTCATATCTTCCCCTTCCCTGAGATCATTCTGAGTGTTGAAGTCAGAGCCTTTCACATGCTAGGCAAGTGCTGTATCACCAAGCCATGTTCCCAACTCTCACACCCGTTTTCTCTAAGGGTGTGAAGTTCCAAAGAGAACAAACAGGTTAAGTTAGTGTTTCAGTAAAATACAGCTGAAAACTGCTTACTGCCAAGGTTGAAACTACCTCTCTGACAGGAAACCAAGCCTCTAAACTGTGGGATAAAGGTGTGTTGATTAGACAGGTAAAATACACATCTATAGGAAACAAGCTTACAACTGTCTTAGTGAGATTTGCTCAGTCAAGAAGCTGTCAGTTATAGCCTAGCATTTGCGCAAAAAACTTCAGTGGAGAGGACAGGAATAACACAGGGACATTCCAGGCATATCAGAGACAATTAACTTCTGCTCACCTCCACCTCCTTCTGGCTTTTCCACGATGCTACAGCCTGCTTTCATTTTTGCCCTCCTGCTGAGAGATACAAGCCACACGATTACTTTAAGATACTATTTATTATACTCAAGGTTTTTCTGGCATAACCTTTCCCCAGTTTTACTTCCTTATACAGTCCTCTCTCTCTCAAATATGTCACCTCCAAACTGCCAATTCCCAAGTCATCAAATGATGGTCCTCAGGTCATCAGCTTCAAAAGCTGTAATTATCTCTCACCTGACTTCAAACCACAAAGTGTAAAGACTGTTCTTAATATTTGCTTTCTTTCTCCTGACCAACCCTTAAATGTGAAAAAAAGCAAGGGTACAGTGAAACAGGTCCAAAAGGCAGCCAAAACAAGTCAAACAGTTTGCCTTCTCTTACTAGACAAGCCCAGATGCCAAAATACACAGTTCACCCAGATGTACCAGCTTAAAGAAGCCAGAAAAAAAAAATCCAAATCGATATGATTTCCACTCAAGAATAGACATGATTTTATTTTACTGAATTATGTGATATGGGATTTTCCTAGTCAGAAAATCTCCCCTCCCAATACTGTAGGACATGAGAAAAAATACTGTATCTACAGTCATTCTATATAAGACACAAAACTTTTTTTTTTTTTTTGAGAAAAACTTCACATGTTATCCATTTAATGGGGTGAGGGGTCAGGTATAAATTTCTGGAGCCCTTTGGCCTACCAGACGAGGGAGTCTTGCTATGATTAAATTCATCCATTCATATTTAGGGTTCCTTGATAAATTTCCAGAAGCAAACAGCTTTGTGTCAGTCATTCATTAAAGATACGTACGTGTGTGTGTGTGTGTGTGTGTGTGTGTGTGTGTAACTGTCAGAGCGTGATGGGGGTAGAGTGGGCAGATCTACCCTCATTGCTCCCCAGGCTAGAGGACAGCCCACAGCACCCACATCCACATCGGCAGGATGCTGGAGGGAATGTAGGTACCTCAGTGGCTTCAGGGTAGGGAGGGGACAAATTCCTAATCTTGGAAGTATCATCTAACCTAGGATTCCTCCAGAGTCTTTGAATTTTCTTTCTCACTGTGTACATACAGGAGACCAGTAAGTTTCAGTCTTCAAAACTATCAGAAGTTGAGAAGATAAGTAACTCGAAGGCGAAAACAAACAAACATATAGTCGCACAGTCTGTGTGTCTGCCTGTCTCTCTCTCTCTCTCTCTCTCTCTCTCTCTCTCACACACACACACACACACACACACACACACACACACACACACACACAAAATATACAAGGCACCAGGGCTGAGACAGGCTCTTCTTGTCATTTCCGTGACAATAAGAGAGGAAAAACACTCATTTGCCCACAGCTCCAGGAAGCTACCCAGGACCTGAATTCCTAGCTTGCTCTGCCAGGTTGCGGGGGGCTTTCCCCCACCACAGGAATACCCTTCAACTCGCCGCAGCGACGATCTGACCTAGAAGCCCTCTGTGGATACTCCCCGTCCCCAGAGCTCCCTCAGAAGTCTTGGGGTGCCTGCGGGGTTTCCACAATTCACGCAGAGGACTCGCTATCCAAACAGGGATCCCCGACTCTCTGCACGCCTCGCCCCTGCCCTTTCTCGAGGCGCGACCCTTCCCCGAGAGCGGAACGTGCACAGTCAGGCGCGGTGGAGCCCGCGCCAGTCCCGGGGTTTCGCCGCCTTTGCCTCCTGCCGGGCCTGCCGCGGGCTCCGCCGGGCCCCCGCAAGACGCCGCCCGGGTTCCTGTCCCGTAGACGCGGCCCCCGCCCTCCGTAGCGGATGAAGCCCAGCCCGCGGGCGGCAGGAGCTCAGAATGTCATCCACGTCGGGGTCCTGGCGGCTGCCCCGAGGCCGGGCGGCCGGTCCAGGCGGGGACTCACCGCTGCCCGGCTCGATCCGTGCTCGGTCGGGTCTCCTCCGCGGCGTCTCCAGCTCCTCCTCATCCACCCCAGCAGGAAGTGACCTCTGCTGTGCTGTCGTCACTTCCATCCTCCAGTGAGGGTGGGGAGGAGGCGGCGCCCCCAGCCGGATCCCAGTCTCGCCGCGCCTCACCGCGGCTGTCTTTCCTTTCTCTTCTCCGCAGACACCGACTTCCGCCCGCACTCCGCCCTGCGCTTCTGCACGCCGCGCGCCCCGCACCCCCCCCCCCCACGCTAGTAGCGCATGCGTCACGCTGCGGGGGCACGTCACGCACGCTCGCGGGTTCGTCCTGCACAGAGGCCGGACCTGGCTGGTGGAGCGCGCTGGGTAGTATGGGACGGGTAGGATTGCCGGGTGTTTAGGCGTGGTGAGGCGTTCCCTGCGGGCTGGACCCTCGCAGACCCCCGGGAAGAGCTCAGCTTCTGGGAGAGCGGACCAAGGCTCGCGGGCAAGGGCTTTGCGGCCTTCCTCGAGGAGGCCCTTGCCGCAGAAGGGAAGACTCACAGACTGGAAAGCGGCGGCCTTTCTCCCTGAGGACCCTTTCACACACTTAGGGAGGGTACCCTAGCCTTCTTTGTTGCACGTGGTTTTGTCAAACCCGGAGGTAGCATCGCTTCCTTGCCCGCGCGAGCACTCTGCATTTAAATCTGAATTTGTCCTGATCCAAGAGTCTAGCAATTCGCTTTTCTTAAGTCATATGAGCACGTCTCTCATTTCGGTTATCTTTTGTTCCTTCTTGAATACTTAACTTACTTTTTCTACCTTTAAGGCTTAGTAATAGAAGATCTGCCTTTCGATTTTATCATAAAGTTTTACCCCTACTTCTCTAAATCCATCGGAGAGGTGTCCTTTTCAGTGGAGAGGTTTAGTAAAGGTTAAATTGGATAACAGGCATGGGGAAGGTTGAGATGAGATGTGAGATTGAAGGAAAATTGACCATCAGTTGTAATCAAAACTTTGTGCCATTGCCCTAATAGTATTTTTTCATCCTGTCTGTCACGTAGAAAACAAACATCATTAGTTGTGAGAAAAGCTGACTTGCTGGGCCGGGCGGATTTAGCAAGCGCACAGTTGTGAGTTTGATTCCCGGTACCAAAACAAAAAACAAAACTGACTTGCAATCATGGGTATGCTGCCAGCCATTCTTTAGGTGTTGATAAAGTGACTAGTAAGTTACTATCTTTTGGCCTGAAGTTGCTTTATGTGTTTAAAATAGGAGAACAGCATTGGTGATACAGTCTTTTCTATAAGCTAACATTTAAGGGCCAGAGAGAGGATTACTGATATATGCAAATAATCCACGAGACTTTTGAATATAGAATATCTTGTATTCTCTGCAGTACCTAGAACAAAGTCTTAAATACAAATGTCAGATGTTGCTTGAATGGGCCAAAAACTGGGATTTACATAAATGGTGATTATATTTAGGTCCTCATTCTTTGATTACCAGCTTTGTTACCTTTGTTGCTCCTGTGTTAGTTCCTCATCTGTAGCTATGGAATCTACTTAATGTGAGATACCTGTAGGTATTGATAGTTATCTCATTCTATCATAGACTCTAGGTATCTTGTATTAACTGTGTTGACACATGTAGAAGTTTAGAGCAGAAAAAAGCCATATTGTGTAGATGTGACAGATGAGTAAATGTTGGCAAAAATAATCACGAGAATCCTCAAATTCTCATACCACCCATACAAATCTTAGTATTTGTGTCAAGTCGGAAACCAAGATGCACAGAAATGGAATGAGCAGCTCCCTGGGAAAGTCTGGAACTGCTAATCTTTTTTGGCTTATGGCCTAAATGGTCATGGTTAGAGCCAGCACTGGTAGCTCCAAGGACCCTGTGTTCTTCAAAGAGCCAAAAACCAGCGTATAAGGACTTAGTGTGGTTTTACTCAGCCTACCTTCCTCATGGTTCTCTGCTGCTAGTGCTCTAATTAGGGCCACAAAGGATGGCTTAAGAGTAAACACAATTAACAGAGATAAACAGATCTCTCTACTTGGCTGGTGTCTGAATTGATATATTGGGAAATGTTTATATCTCAGCAGAAGTCAACCGTGTTCTTACGTTAAGAATTTAAGTGCTGGTCTGAAACTCAACAGGTAAATTTGGGTTTGATAAAGCAAATTGGAACTTCCCTTCCTTCTGGGTAAATGAGCTGTAAGCTGGAAACCTCTCCTATGGTGGTAGAACCTGGGTAGCTTGGCATGACTGGGAACTTCTTACCTTTCCTGAAATCCCTGTCCACTTTCTCTGTCACCGTGGACCATTGCCTTTTCCATGTGCAGCAAACAGGGTTTCATGGATGGGAGATTCTTTGTGTCTTTGAAATGGGAGGAATATGTGCCTTTGAAAGCACAGGGGTGGAAACACTTAGACACAGCCTAGGAGTCAAGACAGGTTGTAACCACCCTTAAATTTCCACTTGTTCAAAGCCCTCTTTGTCCATTGACATTGCCCTCTTGTCCCTTCCCACCCATTTTTATAGTTGTTCCAAATGTTTAGGACAGTTGTGGTGAACCTCTGGCATGTGTACAGCAGCAGCTGTTTGTATCATTGAGAGCTCTTAAAAGTTTGCTGTTTTTGGCCTAGGATGTTTCTTTTGCAAATCTCACAGTCTACTCTCACCTCAACACAGCTACTCCACTTCTTAAGGTAAAAAAAGGAAGAGAAGAGAAAAAAGAGGAGTAGCTGCTGAAATTGGTCCCCTCCCCCTCCAAAAACCTTTCCTGGATCAGGGTGTGTGTCTCTGGCTTCTCTGACTTGTGCTTCTTTATTGCTCCCCTTTTCGTTTATGCACTTATGTTCTCCACACCCCAAACCTACCTGGTTATGTGTATGATATCAACGTTTTCCTGTCTATTCTTGTAGGAGTTGACTGTTCTTATTCTATCATCTGTATGTCATGTACATATTTGTTCTTCCTAGTGTGTTTGTCTTAGATTGCAGGACAACCAGGTTAGATCCACAGTAGCAACAGTGCCCACAGCAATTCTGTGTCACCATTTGTAATACCTAATGATGACAGTTTCTTTCTGTGCTGTCATTTGCCAAGGAGACTTCTTCCCCTCTCAGCGTCCTCCAAGTTTCTCAAGAAAAGGCACGTAGTCTCTTTCCTCCAAAGTGTGTTCTTACTGAACTTGGATTTAGAGAACCTGAGTTTCAGGCCCAGTTTTGACCCTGGTAACTCTGTTCTCTGACAAGCCAATAAACTCCCCTGAATTCCCATGTCCTTGTATCTAAAAGACCTACAACTAATGTCCTTGTTTAAGAGAATAATAGTGGCTGTAGACCTCTTGTAAACCATGAAACCCTTTGCAAAGGTCAAGGATCATAATTACTAGTGCTACCATACTGGACTTGTTCTTGCTATCAAGAACTTCAGCTTGACAGCAGTTGCCACATTATTTCACAGACTTTAAGTGGATTCAATGTTTCAGACTTGGGTAGGAATCCATTATGAACATTTTGTCCTGAAAGTTAGTGCTTTTGGTTTTCTCACCTAGGCATTATTTTATGAGACTGGGTTTGGTGTGATACATTTTAATTACTCCAGGTCTCAGTTTCTCCGTGTATAAAATGACCACGTCTCAAGATTCTAAATTTATAAGGATTTCTAGGAAGAAAAATTTTAAAACATTATTGATTTTGATGAAGCCAAAGACTGAAAAGCATATGTGAAATCACCTTATTTACACCTTTTTATGACTTGTTTCCCCTTTAGTAAGGTGAAGATAAGCTATTAAAAGAATAAACATTGAGTTTATTTGCATGTTTCCACATGGGACTCCATAGCTAGGAAGATTTTGTGTTTTGGTTTATTTTTCCCATCAACCTACAGTTGTTGTGGGATAGAATAATTAATGTCAGTAACATGATTGGGAATCCCCAGATTAAAGGTTAAGTGAGTCCAAAGCAGAAGTAACTTCACCCAAGTTACAGCTCAGCCAGAGGCAGCAGGGAGCTTGGCTGTTTATCTAGCAATGACTTGGGGACTTGAGGACTCTCCCAGATTCCACATGTATCACAGTCCCCAAATGCCTCTTCCTCTCATTTCCCTATTTTAGTTCTTGGTTCCTCTGTTTCAGATCGGCAGAGCAGAGAGGGTGGTGAGAAATCATGAAGGAACAGAATGGGAGAAGAGGATTAATGGGAGGAAATGACCACTTAAACTGTTTTGGCTTTTTTTCTGGAAGCCCAGGAGAAAGATTCCCCTAACCAAAGATGTTTGGTTGCCAGAATCTGTATATTTCTGGAGGCTCATGTCTTCCAGGAAGCCTGCAGAAGTTAATTGGAGCAGAGGGTTAACTTCAGGTTTTATCCTAGGATGTGTTTCCCAAGGCCTAGTATTCATTTCCTACCCTTCTGATACCTGGAATCTGCTTACTGCAGAATCCTTTTTACTTTGTTTTGTATTTATTCACTGTGTATATCTGGCTGTCAATGGATTCTTTTTATGAATGTTCTTAACTTCTTTCCTTTTCAAATGTGGCCTTGATAACCAAAGCAGTCCTCTGTAGACCTTGGCTGACTAGCTAGGTATAGATAGAGTAAAACAGTTTTCCCTTTAGTTTAGACACTTTTTTTTTTTTTTTTTTAAAGATAGCCTTTAGCCTGTTGTGGCAGCATGTGCCTGGGAAGCTGAGGCAGGAGGATAACCAGTTTGAGATTAACCTAGAGAACTTAATGATTTATTGAGAGCCTGTCTCAAGATTAAAAAAATTAAAAAAGGATTGGAGATGTAGGTTGATGTGAAGGCCTTGGGTTTCACTCCCCAGTACTGAAAAAAAGAAAAAAAAAATGATAACTTTAGATAGGATTGTTTCAGAGGCCTTTGTGTGCGGCTGAATTGGTAGTCAAAATCCCCATGACTTTCTTACAATGGCTGCTCATCCAGGTGTCTTCTGTTAAGAACATTTTAAACCTAAATGCCAGACTTAACATTAATTACATTATTATAGATTGTGGTCTGTTACTTATTCCAGGCCATCTGCATCATCTTGATTTATAGAATGTATTATTGTGTGACTTATTGATTGACTCTTCTTGGAGCAACTGTAAAAACAACTTCTAGAGAATACGTACTGAATTATTCTAAACACAATCAGATATTTTCTAATTGGCTCAGAAGTCATTTCTTTTTTTTTTATTTATTTATTTGTAATTTAAAGA